CCCCCAACCCCCATCATTTGCCTTTACATGATTCCCCCTGCTCCTGCTTTCCCTGTCCCAGCAGTGGGGGGTGGGAGGGATGAATTTAAAGACAACTCCAAAAATAAGATTCTTTACATGGAAACTTATGAGAAATTTATAATTTTCTATGTATAGAATCTAATTTGGGGAAAGGGGGGTGTTTTTAAAGTCATCTTGGATTTGAGTAAATGCAGTATGAGGAGTGTATGTCCCTCTTGTACCATGGTTTTGCTGCAGAGCTGCTGGCAGGTGTCCTTCGAAACCTTAATTAAGGGGCAAAGCATGGTGCGTGTTTCAATAAAGGCATTCTGTATCCAAAGTAATTTGCAAGTCAATGGCTGTCTACAGTAGCCAAAGAAAAGTATAAATAGCTACTTACCTTGCTCTCGGGCTCTTCTGATGTTTTGTTTTCTGGCATATGGGAAGCATTTTAGGAGGACCATGGAAAAACCATCTGATTTTTAACTGTAGTGCTCACCTCTGTTGACTTCTTACTAAATGGTGTTTAGTAAGTCCCCTTCTGCCTGCCGTGAAGGGGGCTGCTTCCTTGTCGGGGATCGCAGGATGCTGCTGCAATGGGGGAAAAGATTCCTAGCACTTTTGGGTCTAAACTTTCAAGCATAATCAGAAATGCAGCTCGTTAAGAGAAGATCTGACAGCCTTCTGTCTCCCACAGCCGCCCAGGTGTCCTGATCTCTCCGATTGCCAGAATGAAATTTCTAGTTTAATCACTAAAACTGAAAAGCTGTTGAAAGAGAAAGAAGTCCTGAGTGAAGAACTCAATAGATGTGTTGATAAGGTAATGGAGATTGGCAGGTTCTTACCTCTGCCCCCAGTTTTGTGCCGTACCCAACATGCTGTGCGAGCAGCAATAGTATACTATTCTATGAACAAATATTCTTTGTTCAGTCTCAATGCTATGCCAGATAAATGTTGAGTTTATACCTTGGCGGTCTTATACCTAGGGCTCTGTACTCTGCCATGTTTGGAATTTGCTGCAGAATCAAATCATAGAAAATACGTGCTCCAGAAATTTGTCTTAAAGGTTCGGGTGGGGTGGGGGGTTTCTAGATCAAGGGTGGACAATTATTTCGGGCAGAGGACCACTTACTGAGTTTTGGCAAGCCATCGAGGGCCGTACGACAGCCAGGGGCAGATAAATATTCATTTTCTAAATGGTTTTAGGGGTCCCGCGGGCTGCCTTTTGCCTGCCCCTGTTCTAGACATTAAAGCTTACCTTCTATTCTCCAACTATTTGGGTTGGTCTAATAAAAGATATCAAATTCACACAAGGAACCTTGTCTGCCTATGTCCTTAGACCAACACGGATACAACCTACACCCCTGCAAGCTTACCTATATACCTTTGCTTTGGTTTCCTTTTGCATGTGTCAAACTTTCCCATGGGGTGTACACAACCTTGATTGTACCATGCCTCATAGCACATGTAATCAAATGCCAGGAAGGAAGGCATTTGGGAACAAGATCGTATTTTTCCTTTATCGCTGTAATTTGTATTGTTCTTTTCTACGGTTGTGGTTGTGAACTCAAGCAATATAACCAGCATGCATGTTATACAGACTATTAGTTCCTCACTGTGCTACAGTGTGATCTATCTCACACAGCTAAAAACATCATATCAACTTCCATCCCCATTTATATCAATAAATGCCCCGCAAGAGTACTTGATTTAAGGATTAGTGGCATATTATCTGCTTTTGTTTTCAGGTGGCTAAAGTGAACTACTTGGAGAATGTAATTGTGGGCTTGAAGCAGGAGCAGAAGTCCTGGGAGCAACAAAATCAGATGCTGAAAACACAACTCATGGTTTCACAGGAAAAGGTATAGCAGTACATTTGGTATTAATCCACCTGCACTGCTGACATGTCATCAGCTTCATGGTGCAGGCTGGCATTCTCGTACAGTATTTGCTCTGAGAAATTGCCATCAACTACTAGGATACTTTGAAGAACTTGGAGGCTTCTGTGTAGAAACGTGTGTAGGCTCATTAGGCACTGTCGGTGTGGGGATCACTCTGGTTTTGCTTCTCCGGTTCAGTTCCTTTCTGCCCACTCCCGCTTCCCAGTTCTCCCGGTACATTGGGAAGAGATTCTGCATCGGCTAGTACTACGTGACACAGGGGAGGGAGGAAGAGCAGCCAGCTTGGCTAACTACAGCTGTGGTTATGTAGCAGCTCAAGCATGGCGGGAGGAACAATTTCAGAAGAGA